GTTTTGGGTTCCCTTCCCAGGGGAGGAAAGGTATTGGGTTTTCCCCTTCCCCGGTGAGGAAAGGGGTTTGGGTCCCCCTTTCCCAGGGGAGGAATGGGTTGGTCCCCTTCCTAGGTGAGAATGGTTTGGATCCCCCTTCCTAGGGGAGGAAGGTGTTGGATCCCCTTCCAGGTGGGGAATGGGTGGGATCCCCCCTAGGTGGGAATGGGGTTGGATCCCCTTTTCCCAGGTGAGGGAATGGTTTGATTCCCTTCCTAAAGGGGGAATGGTATTGGACCCCTTCCTAGGGAGGAAAGGGTGGATCCCCCCCTAGGGGAAGAATGGTGTTGGATTCCCTTCCCAGGTGAGGAATGGTATGGATTCCCTTTCCTAGGTGAGGAATAGTGTTGGATCTTTTTCCTAGGTGAGCAATGGTGTTGGATCCCTTTCCTAGGTGAGGAATGGTGTTGGATCCCATTCTTAGGTGAGCAATGGTGTTGGATCCCTTTCCTAGGTGAGGAATGGTTTTGGATCCCCTTCCTAGGTGAAGAATGGTGTTGGATCCCTTTCCTAGCTGAGGAATGGTGTTAGATCCCCTTCCTAGGTGAGGAATGGTGTTGGATCCCCTTCCTAAGTTAGAAATGGTGTTGGATCCCCTTCCTAGTTGAGGAATGGTGTTGGATTCCCTTCCTAGGTGAGGAATGGTGTTCGATCCCTTTCCTAGGTGAAGAATGGTGTTGGATCCCCTTCCTAGATGAGGAATGGTGTTGGATCCCCTAGGTGAGGAATGGTATTGGATCCCCCCAGGTGAGGAATGGTGTTGGATCCCTTTCCTAGGTAAGGAATAGTGTTGGATCCCCTTCCTAGGTGAGGAATGGTTTTGGATCCCCTTCCTAGGTGAGGAATGGTGTTGGATCCCCTTCCTAGGTGAGGAATGGTGTTGGATCCCCTTCCTAGGTGAGGAATGGTGTTGGATCCCCTTTCTAGGTGAGGACTGGTGTTAGATCCCTTTCCTAGGTGTGGAATTGTGTTGGATCCCCTAGGTGAGAAATAGTGTTGGATCCCCTTCCTAGGTGAGGAATTGTGTTGGATCCCCTTCCTAGGTGAGAAATGGTGTTGGATCCCCTTCCTAGGTGAGAAATGGTGTTGAATCCCCTTCCTAGGTGAGGAATGGTGTTGGATTCCCTTCCTAGGTGGGAAATGGTGTTGAATCCCCTTCCTAGGTGAGGAATGGTGTTGGATCCCCTTCCTAGGTGAGGACTGGTGTTGGATCCCTTTCCTAGGTGAGCAATGGTGTTGGATCCCTTTCCTAGGTGAACAATGGTGTTGGATCCCCTAGGTGAGGAATGGTGTTGGATCCCCTTCCTAGGTGAGGAATGGTGTTGGATCCCCTTCCTAGGTGAGAAATGGTGTTGGATCCCCTTCCTAGGTGAGGAATGGTGTTGGATCCCCTTCCTAGGTGAGGACTGGTGTTGGATCCCTTTCCTAGGTGAGCAATGGTGTTGGATACCTTTCCTAGGTAAACAATGGTGTTGGATCCCCTAGGTGAGGAATGGTGTTGGATCCTCTTCCTAGGTGAGGAATGGTATTGGATCCCCTTCTTAGGTGAGGAATGGTGTTGATCCCCTTCCTAGGTGAGGAATGGTGTTGGATCCCTTTCCTAGGTGAGGAATGGTGTTGGATCCTCTTCGTAGGTGAGGAACGGTGTTGGAACCCCCAGGTGAGGAATGGTGTTGTACCCTCTTCCTAGGTGAGGTATGGTGTTGAATTCCCTTCCTGGGTGAGGGAGAGAAGACTCCAGTGCCTCGGATCAGGAGCCTTTTAGAGCAGCCATCTTGAAGGCCAAACATTTAATTTTTCTTGGTCGAGATTCCTCCTGTTACCCAGCAGCAACAGCCTGGTTGATCAGGTCGTCTACCAGAACCAGGCAGACTCCAGACAGATAGACTCCAGGGAAGTAGACTCTAGGTAGGTAGACTTCAGGTAGGTAGATTCAACGTAGGTAGACTCCAGGCAGGTAGACTCCAGGTAGGGAGCCTCCAGGCAGTAGACTCCAGGCAAGTAGACTCTATGTAGGTAGACTTCAGGTAGGTAGACTCAACGTAGGTAGACTCCATGCAGGTAGACTCCAGGCAGATGGACTCCTGGTATGTAAACACCCGGCAGGTAGACTCCAGGCAGGTAGACTCCAGGTAGATAGCCTCCAGGCAGGTAGACTCCAGGCAAGTAGACTCTATGTAGGTAGACTTCAGGTAGGTAGACTCCAGGCAGATAGACTCCTGATAGGTAAACACCCGGCAGGTAGACTACAGACAGGTAGACTGCAGATAGGTAGCCTCCAAATAGTTAGACACCCGGCAGGTAGACCTCCCTTTACAGACACTCTTGTACACGTGTATTAGACAGGGGGGGGGGGTCAGACAGGTAGACTGCCTCCCGTCCCTTGCGTCCCTCTCCCTCCTTGTCCAATTTCTGCTGTACTTCACTCTCCTGGGATCTTTACACTCCTTAATAAGTTCAATCGAGGCGAGACAAACGTTCGCCGCCTCAGGGAACGTTTGAGGAACGTTGCTAACGTATCAGAGTCAGCCAGGCAAAGGCTCCAGCTGTAAAAACGTTTAATGAAGTCCCTGTGAGGCCTTACAAGGGTGAAAGATGGGGAGGTGTTGAGAAGGTGTGTGTGTGTGTGTGTGGCTGCAGGGGTCGACACAGCTCCTGGCCTGTCTTGTGGCAGTGGTACAATATCAAATGCTTTCTTGAATTCCAAGATTATGCAAATCAACTCTCTCTCCTGTCTCGCTTCTGTCAATTTGAAGTTGATTTCCACTGTGTTGGGAGACAATATTTGTGACCTGTAAACCCCTAATAAGTATCCTACTACTATATTGACTATCAACTACATTATCTTACATAGTACACATGACTACAGTTGTTTACATGATTTACAAGTCAGTCAGACTGGTCTGTAGTTTAACATTTCCCTGTCTGTCTGCTTTCTTGAATATAAGGACTACCGTCAGTCTTCCAGATCTCTGGTAACTGTACAGTGTTCACTGTCTTCCAGATCTCTGGTAACTCTCCAGTGTTCATTGTCTTCCAGATCTCTGGTAACTGTCCAGTGTTCACTGTCTTCCAGATCTCTGGTAACTGTCCAGTGTTCACTGTCTTCCAGATCTCTGGTAACTGTCCAGTGTTCACTGTCTTCCAGATCTCTGGTAACCGTCCAGTGTTCACTGTCTTCCAGATCTCTGGTAACTGTCCAGTGTTCACTGTCTTCCAGATCTCTGGTAACCGTCCAGTGTTCACTGTCTTCCAGATCTCTGGTACCCTGTTCAGTGTTCCCTGTCTTCCAGATCTCTGGTAACCGTCCAGTGTTCACTGTCTTCCAGATCTCTGGTAGCTGTTCAGTGTTCCCTGTCTTCCAGATCTCTGGTAACCGTCCAGTGTTCACTGTCTTCCAGATCTCTGGTAACTGTCCAGTGTTCACTGTCTTCCAGATCTCTGGTAACTGTTCAGTGTTCCCTGTCTTCCAGATCTCTGGTATCCGTCCAGTGTTCACTGTCTTCCAGATCTCTGGTAACTGTCCAGTGTTCATTGTCTTCCAGATCTCTGGTAACTGTCCAGTGTTCATTGTCTTCCAGATCTCTGGTAACCGTCCAGTGTTCATTGTCTTCCAGATCTCTGGTAACTGTCCAGTGTTCATTGGTCTTCCAGATCTCTGGAAAACTGTCCAGTGTTCATTGTTTTCCCAGATCTCTGGTAACCGTCCAGTGTTCACTGTCTTCCAGATCTCTGGTAACTGTCCAGTGTTCCCTGTCTTCCAGATCTCTGGTAACCGTCCAGTGTTCACTGTCTTCCAGATCTTTGGTAACTGTCCAGTGTTCATAGTCTTGTTGTGGATGACACAGTGCTGCTGCCTCTCAGCTAGTGGATGACACAGTGCTGCTGCTGCTTCTCTCACAATCTATGGTGACACCTGGTCAGCCTCCACTGCCTTGGATCTCTTATCAAGCTCCATCAAAGCTTTCTTTACCTCTGTCCTTGTTATGTGTATAATGTCTGGTACCTGCTGGTGCACTCTTCCCCCTAGCAGTAGCTGTGGTTACTTATAGTACCAGCTACTGTGGTTACTTACAGTAGCAGCTGCTGTGGTTACTTACAGTAGCAGCTGTGGTTACTTACAGTAGCAGCTGCTGTAGTTACTTACAGTAGCAGCTACTGGGGTTACAGTAGCAGCTACTGGGGTTACAGTAGCAGCAGCTGTGGTTACAGAAGCAGCAGCTGTGGTTACAGTAGCAGCAGCTGTGGTTACAGTAGCAGCTACTGGGGTTACAGTAGCAGCAGCTGTGGTTACAGTAGCAGCAGCTGTGGTTACTTACAATAGCAGCTACTGGGGTTACAGTAGCAACAGCTGTGGTTACAGTAGCAGCAGCTGTGGTTAAAGCAGCAGCAGCTGTGGTTAAAGCAGCAGCAGCTGTGGTTACTTACAATAGCAGCTACTGGGGTTACAGTAGCAGCAGCTGTGGTTACAGTAGCAGCAGCTGTGGTTACAGTAGCAGCTACTGGGGTTACAGTAGCAGCAGCTGTGGTTACAGTAGCAGCAGCTGTGGTTACAGTAGCAGCAGCTGTGGTTACAGTAGCAGCTACTGGGGTTACAGTAGCAGCTACTGGTGTTACAGTAGCAGCAGCTGTGGTTACTTACAATAGCAGCTACTGGGGTTACAGTAGCAGCAGCTGTGGTTACAGTAGCAGCAGCTGTGGTTACAGTAGCAGCAGCTGTGGTTACAGTAGCAGCAGCTGTGGTTACAGTAGCAGCTACTGGGGTTACAGTAGCAGCTACTGGTGTTACAGTAGCAGCAGCTGGTGGTGATGTACTAGTGCCATCTAGTGGTGGTAGTGGTGGTGTAGCAGCACCATCTAGTGGTGGTAGCCAGAGTTAATTAGGTTATCAGTGATGGTGTTATAGTGAAGGTCAGGACAGTGACCAACCTCAAGGCCCCTAAAGGTCATTTGAACTCCAATGGTCGTTCAGGAGAGACGTGTTGCCTCTCCTCCTGCCGCCCCGCCGGCTTTACCGCTTCCTCGTCCCTTTAATACACATAAATAACGTAAGTATTTTCTGGTGACGTATTTTTCAGTGCAACAGCAGAGTTGAGCTGCAGCTCCTGGTCCCCACCACCAGTCTGGTCACCAAATTATTTAAAGTCTTAATTGTCTTGGGGGAGGGGGGGGAGTGACCCTAGTGGAGGGGTTTTGATGCGAGGAACTGGAGCTGCTCCACTTCCTCTGATCAAACAATAACTCTCACGTTACATAACCCATAATTGTGTATCCAGTTCTGGGCTATTTATATTTATTATTTAAAAAAATAACTTACTGACGTTCTCTTGATCCAAGGAACTTGCGCCTCGTGATCCACATAGACCTCCATGTTAAGTTATATTTGTGAAAAATATATGTTAGAGATAGCTTTGCTTACCATGTTAAACACTAGTGTTTATATGAGTAATGTTTTAGTTTATATTGTGGTAATGTTTATATATAAATGTGTATAATCATGGTTATAATGTGAATGTAATGTTGCAGGAGACGACCACACTAGTAAATGATCTGACCCGTAACATTTATATGGAGATGCAGCAGCTGGAGACGTCGCCGGGAAGTGGGCGGGGCCCACTTGTATATCCAGGTTTTTAAGTTCACCAAAGTTTGTTTATTGAAGCAGATAGTAATTGTAGGTAGGGAGAGTATAGGAAAGATTATTAGCAATTCATATCAGAAGTAACTTAGTGGGGAATATTAGTTCATCTCCCTACCAGAGATGAAATCTCTGGCCAGGAAATAGAGGAAAAATATTCTGTAGAATTACCTTGAATGAGATGGTGATAAAATATGGAGAAAGGGGTTGTAAAGCTTAGAATTGAAGACTGATTAGAATATGGGAAGTTTTAACTAGCGTCATATTTTTATTATGTAGCCTTATAACCCATCATGCAAGAGAGTAGGAAGCTGAGATGAAATGTATTAGTGATTGTATCATGGTTCAGTTGGTAGTGACGTCAACTGAAGACCCGGGATCCGATCCCGGGCACAAGTGGGCATGTTCCCTTATATCCACTGGCACTGTTCACATAGAGGAACACTGCAGCAGGCCTATGGTAGGGGTTGCAATGACACACATGTCATCCTGACTTAATTGGGTAATTATCTTAATCTACCGGGTTAATTATACTGAGAGAGTTGTGTGGTGAGGCAGAGGTCTTGATGCCAGGTGTAAGAACAGCCTATTGAATCAGGCATATCCATTATTAAGACACAAAGGGGCACTGAAGCAGGCCTATTGGCCCATGTTAGGCAAGTCCAACTCAACCACTCATTTATCTAACCTATTTCTAAAACTACACAGCTAAAGTTCTAGCTTCACATGGCGGGATAAATTGATCTTAGGTAGAATGTATTATAGCCGGAAAAATCAATAACAATTCCTCGGTTGTAGAGGACCTGGCCAAGTTGTAGAGGACCTGGCCAAGTTGTAGAGGACCTGGCCAAGTAATTTTATGCTTTGAAATCCCAAAAATAGTTTCTGTAGTATAGCCTTGTGGGTTTAACGCTTACGACTCAAGTCTGTATTAGAGCGTCTTGCGGGGGGGGGGGGGATTTGTCCTGAAATTGGGTTATACCGTATATAGTTAGAGACTTTGTACACCTTGATCTTAGGTAGACCCCTCTGTTCTTACCTAGACCCCCTCTGTTCTTACCTAGACCCCCTCTGTTCTTACCTAGACCCCCCCTTTTTCTTACCTAGACCCCCTCTGTTCTTACCTAGACCCCCCTCTATTCTACCTAGACCCCCCTCTATTCTTACCTAGGACCCCCTCTATTCTTACCTAGACTCCCCTCTATTCTTACCTAGACCCCCTCTGTTCTTACCTAGACCCCCTCTGTTCTTACCTAGACCCCTCTGTTCTTACCTAGACCCCCTCTGTTCTTACCTAGACCCCCCTCTGTTCTACCTAGACCCCCTCTGTTCTTACCTAGACCCCCTCTGTTCTTACCTAGACCCACTCTGTTCTTACCTAGACCCCCTTTGTTCTTACCTAGACCCCCTCTGTTCTTACCTATACCCCTCTGATGTTACATATACCCCTCTGATGTTACCTATACCCCTCTGATCTTACCTAGAATCCCATGTTCTTACGTTTACCTCCCTTCTCCCCCCCCTTTGTGCTGCCACTGCTCTACAAATTAGTAAGGACTATACCTGGATTATGTTGCATAGTTGTGGTGTATATAACACTTTGTAGGTCTACAATTATTTAGTTTCTACCATCAAAGTAACTTGTAGAATTAGGTTGTGTTAAGTAGGATAGGTAAGATATAGAACTGGAGAATCTGCTATATGCATTATGAATGCATATAGCAGGGGAGAGTAATCTCCCCTGAAGGCATAGATTACGTAGAACTGTAGGCCTGGGAACCCACCAACGACCTTCAGTAGCTGTCTGCAATCTGTTATTGCACATGGTTTCCGTGGGGATTTTGGTGGGTTTCGGGCTTTGGGTAGTGGTAGTGGTGGGTGTTCTACGTTTTTTATGCCTTTGGTCAAACTGCAAGGTTAAATATTGGTTTACATCGTCTTGATGTTACCTAGACCCCCCTTGAACTTACCTAGACCTCCTTTTATCTTACCTAGACCCCCCTTGAACTTAACCAGACCTCCTTTTGTCTTACGTAGACCCCCTGATCTTACCTAGAGCCCCCTGACCTTACCTAGATCCCCTTGATCTTACCTAGCCCCTTGATCTTAATTAGACCCCCCTTGATCTTACCTAGACCCCCTGATCTTACTACGACCCCCTTAATCTTGCCTAGACCCCCTGATTTTACCCAGACCTCCCTTAATCTTACCTAGACCCCTTTGATACTACCGAGACCTTTCTTGGTCTTACCTAGACCCCCTTATCTTACGTAGACCCCCTATCTTACCTAGACAACCTGATCTTACCTAGACCCCATTGATCTTACCTAGACCTTTTGATCTTGCCTAGACCCCCCTGATCTTGCCTAGACCCCCCTAATCTTACCTAGACCCCTTAATCTTCCCTAGTCCCCGCTGATCTTACCTAGTGCCCCTGGATCTTTCCTAGAGCCCCTTGATATTACCTAAACCCCCTGAACTTAACGAGACCCCCCTAATATTACCTAGATCCCCCTTGATCTTACCTAGACCAATTGATCATACCTAGGGCCGCTCTGATGCTACCCAGATCCCCTTCATCTTACCTACACCCCCCTTGACCTTACTTGCACCCCCCTGATCTTACCTACATCCCTCACATCTTACCGAGACCTCCCTGATCTTACCTACACCACCCTTGACCTTGCCTAGACCCCTTTGATCTTGTCTAAAACAAATTTGAGCTTACCTAGACCCCCTTGATCTCTCCTAGACCCCTTGATCTTTCCTAGACCCCCTGATCTTTCCTAGATCCCCTGATCTTACCTAGATCCCTTGATCTTACCTAGATCCCCTGATCTTACCTAGACCACCCTAATGTCACCTATGCCCCTTGAACTTCCCTAGACCCCCTCAGCTTACCTATGCCCCCTGATCTTACATAGACCCCGCTAATCTTACCTAGATCCCCCGATCTTACCTATACCCCACTGAACTTACCAACACCCTTGATCTTACTTATACCCCCCGACCTTGCCTAGATTTCCCTGATCTTACCTAGAACCCAATGTTCTTACGTTTACCTCCCCTTCCCCCCCCCCTTTGGTGCTGCCACTGCTCTACAAATTAGTAAGGACTATACCTGGATTATGTTGCATAGTTGTGGTGTATATAACACTTTGTAGGTCTACAATTATTTAGTTTCTACTATCAAAGTAACTTGTAGAATTAGGTTGTGTTAAGTAGGATAGGTAAGATATAGAACTGGAGAATCTGCTATATGCATTATGGATGCATATAGCAGGGGAGAGTAATCTCCCCTGAAGGCATAGATTACGTAGAACTGTAGGCCTGGGAACCCACCAACGACCTTCAGTAGCTGTCTGCAATCTGTTATTGCACATGGTTTCCGTGGAGATTTTGGTGGGTTTCGGGCTTTGGGTAGTGGTAGTGGTGGGTGTTCTACGTTTTTTATGCCTTTGGCCAAACTGCAAGGTTAAATATTTGTTTAAATCGTCTTGATGTTACCTAGACCCCCCTTGAACTTACCCAGACCTCCTTTTATCTTACCTAGACCCCCCTTGAACTTACCCAGACCTCCTTTTATCTTATCTAGACCCCCCTTGAACTTACCCAGACCTCCTTTTATCTTACCTAGACCCCTTTATCTTACGTAGACCCCCTGATCTTACCTAGAGCCCCTGACCTTACTAGACCCCCTTGAACTTACCCAGACCTCTTTTATCTTACCTAGACCCCTTTATCTTACATAGACCCCCTGATCTTACCTAGAGCCCCCTGACCTTACCTAGACCCCCCTTGAAAATTACCCAGACCTCCTTTTATCTTACCTAGACCCTTCTTGATCTTACTTAGACCCATGATCTTACCTAGACCCACTGATCTTACCTAGACGTAGCTAATCTTACCTAGATCCCCTGATCTTACCTAGACGTAGCTAATCTTACCTAGATCCCCTGATCTTACCTATACCCCTGAACTTACCAACACCCCCTTGATCCTACCTAGACTCCCTTGATCTTGCCTCGACCCCCTTATCTTATGTAGACCTATTGACCTTGCCTAGACCCCCTGACCTTACCTGGACCCCCCTTGATCTTACCTAGACCCGCTTGATCTTACCCAGACCCCTATGATTTTACCTAGACCCCCTTGATCTTATCTAGACCCCTGTGGTTTTACCTAGACCCCCTTGATCTTACCTAGACCCCTTGATCTTACCTAGGGCCCCCATTGATCTTACCTAGACCCCCTTGATCTTACCTAGACCCCCTTGATCTTACCTCGACCCTCTTATCGTACGTAGACCTCTTGACCTTACCTAGACCCCCTGACCTTACCTAGAGCCCCTTGACCTTACCTAGACCCCCTTGATCTTACCTAGACCCCTTGATCTTTCCTAGACCCCCTTGATCTTACCTAGACCCCCTTGATCTTTCCTTGACCCCCTGATCTTACCTATACCCCAATGTTCTTAAGTTTACCTCCTTTCTTCCCCCCCCCCTTTGTGCTGCCACTGCTCTACAAATTAGTAAGGACTATACCTGGATTATGTTGCATAGTTGTGGTGTATATAAACTTTGTAGGTCTACAATTATTTAGTTTCTACTATCAAAGTAACTTGTAGAATTAGGTTGTGTTAAGTAGGATAGGTAAGATATAGAACTGGAGAATCTGCTATATGCATTATGGATGCATATAGCAGGGGAGAGTAATCTCCCCTGAAGGCATAGATTACGTAGAACTGTAGGCCTGGGAACCCACCAACGACCTTCAGTAGCTGTCTGCAATCTGTTATTGCACATGGTTTCCGTGGGGATTTTGGTGGGTTTCGGGCTTTGGGTAGTGGTAGTGGTGGGTGTTCTACGTTTTTTATGCCTTTGGCCAAACTGCAAGGTTAAATATTGGTTTACATCGTCTTGATGTTACCTAGACCCCCCTTGAACTTACCTAGACCTCCTTTTATCTTACCTAGATCCTTCTTGATCTTACTTAGACCCACTGATCTTACCTAGACCCACTGATCTTACCTAGACGTAGCTAATCTTACCTAGATCCCCTGATCTTACCTATACCCCCTGAACTTACCAACACCCCCTTGATCCTACCTAGACTCCCTTGATCTTGCCTCGACCCCCTTATCTTATGTAGACCTATTGCCTTGCCTAGACCCCCTGACCTTACCTGGACCCCTTGATCTTACCTAGACCCCCTTGATCTTACCCAGACCCTATGATTTTACCTAGACCCCCTTGATCTTACCTAGACCCCTGTGGTTTTTACCTAGACCCCTTGATCTTACCTAGACCCCCTTGATCTTACCTCGACCCTCTTATCGTACGTAGACCTCTTGACCTTACCTAGACCCCCCTGACCTTACCTAGAGCCCCCTGACCTTACCTAGACCCCTTGGTCTTAGACCCTCTGATCTTACCTAGACCCCTTTGATCTTACCTAGACCCCCTTGATCTTACCTAGACCCCCTTGATCTTACCTAGACCCCTTGATCTTACCTACACCCCCTTGATCTTACCTCGACCCTCTTATCGTACGTAGACCTCTTGACCTTAACCTAGACCCCCCTTGAACTTACCCAGACCTCCTTTTATCTTACGTAGACCCCCTTATCTTACGTAGACCCCCTGATCTTACCTAGAGCCCCCCTGATCTTACTTAGAGCCCCCCTGACCTTACCTAGACCCCCTTGCTCTTACCTAGACCCGATCTTACCCCCACCCCTTGATCTTGCCTAGACCCCCCTGATTTTACCCAGACCTCCCTTAATCTTACCTAGACCCCTTTGATGCTACCGAGACCTTTCTTGGTCTTACCTAGACCCCCTATCTTACCCAGACAACCTGCTGTTACCTAGACCCCATTGATCTTACCTAGACCTTTTGATCTTGCTAGACCCCCCTAATCTTACCTAGACCCCTGATCTTACCTAGACCCCCTTGATCTTACCTAGATCCCTGATCTTACCTAGACCACCCTAAATGTTACCTATGCCCCTTGAACTTCCCTAGACCCCCTCAGCTTAAACCCATGCCCCCCGATCTTACCTATACCCCTTGATCTTACCTAGACCCCGCTAATGTTACCTAGATCCCTGATCTTACCTATAGATCCCCTGATCTTACCTATACCCCCCTGAACTTACCAACACCCCCTTGATCTTACCTAGACCCCCTTGATCTTACCTAGACCCCTTGATCTTACCTCGACCCTCTTATCGTACGTAGACCTCTTGACCTTACCTAGACCCCCCTGACCTTACCCAGAGCCCCCTTGACCTTACCTAGACCCCTTGGTCTTACTTAGACCCTCTGATCTTACCTAGACCCCTTTGACCTTACCTAGACCCCCCTTTATCTTACCTAGGACCCCCTTGATCTTCCTTGACCCCCTGATCTTACCTAGAACCCAATGTTCTTAAGTTTACCTCCCTTCTCCCCCCCCCACTTTGTGCTGCCACTGCTCTACAAATTAGTAAGGACTATACCTGGATTATGTTGCTAGTTGTGGTGTATATAACACTTTGTAGGTGTACAATTATTTAGTTTCTACTATCAAAGTAACTTGTAGAATTAGGTTGTGTTAAGTAGGATAGGTAAGATATAGAACTGGAGAATCTGCTATATGCATTATGAATGCATATAGCAGGGGAGAGTAATCTCCCCTGAAGGCATAGATTACGTAGAACTGTAGGCCTGGGAACCCACCAACGACCTTCAGTAGCTGTCTGCAATCTGTTATTGCACATGGTTTCCGTGGGGATTTTGGTGGGTTTCGGGCTTTGGGTAGTGGTAGTGGTGGGTGTTCTACGTTTTTTATGCCTTTGGCCAAACTGCAAGGTTAAATATTGGTTTACATCGTCTTGATGTTACCTAGACCCCCCCTTGAACTTACCCAGACCTCCTTTTATCTTACCTAGACCCTTCTTGATCTTACTTAGACCCACTGATCTTACCTAGACCCCCTGACCTTACCTAGACACCCTGGACTTACCTAGACCCACTCAACCTTACCTAGACCCCCTGATCTTGCCTAGACCCTTTTATCTTACCTAGACCCTCCTTAATGACGAAAATAACGAAAACCTGTGTGATCTAAAGTGTTAGTCAGCAGAAATACTTCACCAACATCTGATGAGTATAGTTAGGGGGGTGATTTAGATTGGTATTAGTGGGAATGGGATTATTAACCTTGCTGGGTTAGTAACCAAGAAAAATAGAGGTAGAGAGGGGGGGGGGAGCTTGACTGTAGTGGTCCTCAGGTTGTCTGCCATAACTGTTAGTTAAGGTAGGTTATAAATTCAGGCTTAACACAGTAGTATGTTAGGAAACTGGTATATAACAGAGCTCCAACTGGTTACATAACCCATACATAACTGGTTACATAACAGTAGCAGTTGTTAGCCTAGTGTGCTACGAGGGACGTGGAAGGATAGGGGAAATAATGTCCTAAGTACCTTCATGTTAAATTTGGATGCTCGTCTGTGTGGCCTGGTGGCTAAAGCTCCCGCTTCACACACGGAGGGCCCGGGTTCGATTCCCGGCGGGTGGAAACATTTCGACACATTTCCTTACACCTGTTGTCCTGTTCACCTAGCAGCAAGTAGGTACCTGGGTGTTAGTCGACTGGTGTGGGTGGCATCCTGGGGGACAAGATTAAGGACCCCAATGGAAATAAGTTAGACAGTCCTCGATGACGCACTGACTTTCTTGTGTTATCCTGGGTGGCTAACCCTCCGGGGTTAAAAATCCGAACGAAATCTTATCTTATCTGTCAGGGGGCATCTTGATACAAGCAGTTGCAAGTACCCTCCCCTTCCCTGGATCAAACCTGATTGCCTAACATTCCCAAAGCTGTGTATAACCCCTGTGGATAATATCAATCTAGTCATAGGAAATTGCGTTTGGGTATATATACAAGTACGTAAAATAGTTTAAATGGGAAGGGGGGGGGGGATAGCGGTAAACTCTCGGGGGACAGGTCGACCAAAGTCAATGAGATTTGATTAAGAGAAGAGTAGTGCAAGTTGACTTTCTCAAGATTTAGTTTAAGTCACGCACATATTTATATCCTTTAAGGAGTAGACTCACGAAATCGTAGTGACACGATTGCAAACAATCCATACCAGGAGTCTGGGTAGAACCCGCGATCAGTCACAAAACTCCAGACCGACTCTTTAGCCACTGGGCCAGCTGGCCACAATAAGACAAAACGTGTCTTATTGTGGCCAGCTGGCCCAGTGGCTAAGAGTCTGGAGTTTTGTGACTGATCGCGGGGTTCTAACTTAACCCCTAGCATGGTTTATTAGTAGTAGTCTTGACTAGCTTGTAATACAGAGTTTTACCCTCCAGCTTAACTGCCGCAGAATCCTCATGACATAAAGACCACTGGAGACCAGAGATTAATGTCTTATAAGACATTTACTGTCTTGTGCACACGGAGTGTTTACCGCGAAGTCAGTTGTACAAGACTGCCGCAACACTGACCTTCCTGACGGTAGTGTACAAACACCAGGTCATGCATTAAAAATGTATCATACCTCAAACTACTAATAATGGCAGTAACGAGGCGAACAGCCTTATTACTATTATTGTTAGTAGGGTTGAGGTAGGTATATTTTTTTTTTTTTTTCCCGAGCTTAGAGCTCCCAAGTTGTGTGAATGTTCTCTCCTGCTGATAAATACAGCAGTTGAGGCTTGTCTAAGTTATTTCCGGTGTTCATTGAACACCGTGTGTGTTCCTTGAACATTGTTCATTGCACATTTCTTTGTGATAAATAATGGGACAACTTTATTTATTTGATTTTATATTGGATGTCTTTATTGGATGTAATTGGTTAAATTTGTGTAGGTTATATGTCAATGTTGTGCGGGCAGCGGACGTGGGGCAATAACAGTCTTGTGGGTGCAGCTGCTACTGTGGGTCAAGACAATATTGTGGCCTGCTACACTAGTGGTCAAGGACATCGTTCGTGGGCAGCTACTGTGGTCAAGGACAATCTGTCGGGGCAGCTACTTGTGTTCACGGACGTCTTGTGGGCTAGTACTGTGGTCAAGACCGTTCTGAGTGGGCAGCTACTGTGGTCATGACTAGTTTGTGGGCAGCTGCAATATTCAGAGACCACAACAACGCAACACCCCCTATGAAACGTCTGACAGAAGATACAGAAGTAAGAAATCATTAGATTATATTCATGATTTGCAATGATCAAAACTGTTATCTAACTTATAAAAATGTTTCTCACTTCAACAATTTGTCGAATGACATTACTAAATGGTTTTCAAAATTGAATCTATCCTCAATAAAATCTACCATGGAAATGGAGTAAACCCAAGTCCTTGACATTACCACTAGGTTGATGGAGCTGGAAGAGCGGGAGGTGTGATGGACAGTGATGGTTGGCAGAGGGTTGTGTCTAGTGGCGCACAATTCTTGACTCCTTATGACTGATTGGCGGCACATGGTGGAAGTGGGTGATGCCGATCTGGGTTGTTTGTGGGGGAGGGGATAGGTAGTTGCGGAAGGGGTTCTCGGGGGAGTTGGGTGCTGGTTGGAGGGGTGTGTGGGGTTGACTAGTTAGCTGTTACCGTAGAGAGGGGGGAAGGTTGTCAGATTTGATAATTACTAATGGCCAACACTGACTTATTAATGTGTTAAGGGGTTTGAATATTGATTTTTCAGACACGCCTTGGACACTTTTTTTTTTTTTATATTTTATTTGAAATCAGTACAATACACAAGGTGGAAATTATATTAATAAAGGTTACACAAAGTTAAATCACAAATTCCCTATTTACCTTACAAAATGATTACACCAGACAAAAGTGTTCGACACCTTATGCACCACCACCATATAAATCCCAGTTTTTTTTTTTTTTTTTTTTTTTTTATATTTTATTTAAAACAGTGCGATTACAAATGACAGAAATATATTAAAAAGGGATACACGACAAAAGATTACTGCACTAGAACCCCTTAACCAGAGATCCTATATGAACGACACCATACAGTACAGTGGTATTACACCCCTCACACACTTAACAACCGTTAATGTTACATTGGTATTATCTAACCTACTCACACAACACACCGTAGTATTATCATGATAATACATGACTCACACAACTCTATACATTACATGTGGTTTTGCTTTATTTGTTAAAGAACACTCTACAAGGTCATTATTACCTCAGTAACATGTCAAAACTGGAAATTATGAAGATTGTAGTTACAATTAAAACAGAGATACAAATACAAATCAAACACGCACATTGACACGCACAAGCAACCAAATTACAGTTCATGAGGACTACATCAGGCAAATATAGGTGAGCGTTTTGCCTGTAACACACGTATGCAAGACCTAATTCTTCTAAGATCTCAGGTGCTTAACGAGCTCCACTCGTATACTTCAAAACATTAAATATTGGCGATTATCACGAGATCTTATACATACATTAGGCTATTGACTATTCAAATGAAGGAAAACGGGATATACTAAAGAAGTCACCAATGATAAAACATCCCAGTAGTAATCTCAAACAAAACTACGAATGTGATAATATTAATCTCAGCTCAAAACAAAGAATATATAATGCAAACTAGGTTAACATGTAATATATTATTTTCTGAATGCACATGTAAACACCGCATAAAATATAACATAAAATAAAAAGCCAATTGCTATACGCTTGGAAACAACTTTTTACACCTTACATTTGAATCAAAAAACAGTTAAAGACTACTATGCACATATTGAGTCTTCATAGAAAATTCTTTCATCATAAAGTCCTTGAAATGATTTATACTAATGATTAATATATGCAATGTAGTGCTACACCTTTCTAAATGATAATTGTGTAGTTCGGAGAAAACCTCGGGGTATAACCTATTGCCTGTCTAGATATCAAGACTCATTTTACATCCATATATTACAGCTCTAATGCTCACACCCATAGGTCTAGGATATAGCACCCGTTTCGTTATCCCCTTACCCATTTTGCAAATCCCATAATCCCTTCATGTGAATATTCGTTAACCATCACTAAATACTCTATCCCATCTCCTCCATACACCCCTTTATTTCTACCACGGTGTCCTATAAAAAGTTGCTGCAATGCAATTAATTCTTGCACGCACGTCAGCCTCCCTCATAGCCCAATCATGTATTTATAAATCCGTATTCATTTTACCCAATCGCATTCTCAACCCTTTTATTCACCCCTGTTATATCTAAACTTAAAACCCTCAAAACCTGCAAACCCCCCCCCCACTAACTTAAACCTTACCATCCAAACCCTTATAGTTTCAATACACAATCGCAAACACTAAAAATACACCGTTTATGATAAATAGTCGCCAATCCTCAACAATCCCTGCATTCCCATCCTCTCGGTATTCTCTTATAGAATATTAAACCACATTCCTGACGCAATGATTCCAGTGTATAAATATCTATACATAAGTCTCTGGGACTTTAGGTTTTAACGCCAATTTATTTAAACGCCCCAAATATTATTGACCAATTCACAATACATCGGATAAATCCTTCTACCGCACGCTACCAGTGCTTACCATCTGCCTATCAAGAGTTCTCAATTTAATGTGTGAGATTGATCCCTCACGTTTATGAAGACCCGTAACTTTGCCTCAACCTTCATCTTGGACTCCCGACCCCCACCACCGTCGCTATCCTGATGTATCCTATGAAGACCGTTCCTTTCTGCCACTCCCTCCCGCTTATAACTTGTTTTTATACATACTTATTATCCTCTTTTCGACATCTATAAGGACCCTGACCTCCACGGCCCAATCCGGGAGTGTGGACAACGCTTACTTAACCTTCGCTCCATGTTCCCCAAAGAATCTAATATAACACTTTTTTGTAACCTTTTTATTTCACAACGATAAGAGTATCGGTAATATTACCCGGAATCTTGGCCATAGTTTACCGATATAATAGAACATTCGTTGTGTTCACCCTTTGTTGCGAAAATTTAATTAGCAGCTCTCAACCCACTAAGGACGCTTCAGAAAACAACTATCAACGATACGCACGGAATTTATTTGTTGTGCTGACTTGACTATCGCATTTACATAAACGATCCCACATATCTTTATTTGGTCCATCCCTTTCATACTTTCAGCTACCATCTTCCTCACGCGAACCTTTGTTCCAAGACTATATACTTTGTTTTCCTCATGTGATCGTAATGCCAGTAGCCTTTTCATAACTTTCACTAACTTTGCTACCGGAATCAAATCCATGTGTTCTCTCACCAAATTCGTCGTGTCGTCGACATATCCAACATTGCCCGCTCCCCAACCCCTTACATTACTCAATCCCATTTGCTTCGATTCCATAAAAACACTGATACCTCTATAAAAGGGTCTTGTAAACAAGCAAAAAAAATTTGTGAAAGGGGACAACCTTGACGCAAACCCCTTCCCATCTGAATCGATCTCCCAACCTCCATTCACCTTGGCTCACGCAAAGATTGCCTTGTGATACATTAATTTGGCCATGATATAATTTCCGCCCCAAACCCCTGCCATCTCATTATTTCCATAACGTCTCCCGTTCCACATATCATATGCCGCCCTCCCAATCTATGCAATACCGCCATCTCCCAATCTTACTTTCTTTCTTCATTAATACTTCTATTCATACCGTGACCTTCATACATTGACCTGCCCGGACACCATATTGTCCTCTTGTCAATTCACTTTGCACTGGACTTTTTTTATTCTCGTTGGCCATGATACTTTCCTAAAATTTTATGTCCCCACATAATTATCGAGATTGACGATAATCTTTTAACCGTTAATGGCTCGCCTTTAGGAACTAGGACGGACCACAGCCTACCTTTGTTGTTCCCCTAAAACCCATCCCGCTTCATGATATTGAATAACGTACCAAAAACACCTTTAAATACGTTTCAATTTTGAATATATAAATGTCGCTGGGCACCCATTCTATTCCCTGGACCTTACCAATTGGCCCAGATAAAGCTCCCAAGTCTCACACTCCGTTATCGGGGAGGGGGCCCTCCAACATCAAACGATCATGCTCCTCCAGCTCACAACGCACAAATACGATTGACTGCAATGCAATTTCACTTATTCCAACACTTTGCGTTTTCTATTTACCCAAGCTTCAATATACATCTCATACCCTCCGTCGTCGTCAACACCTGAGATTTCACTCTATACCCCGGCATACCTACCTGACATTCAACCCCATTTACTCCAGTGCTTTGCGACGTCTGTGTTGATTCCTCACACACACGCCGACGGCCGATCTCCCCACAAAACTCTTCGATTCCACTCCTTAAGCCTTTTCCACATCAAACTTTCGTTTTGTAAATTTACGTAGTTTGCTCCTTAATTCGTTACATATTTCCTGTATCAGGATAATTAGGCATTCGCTTGTTCTTTGCAGTCGCGCAACTGACCCCTATAAATATGTTGGAACCAT